TTTCTTGTCCCTTTTCTTGTTTTTTTAAGCACACATTTAATCTGTTGTGGTCAGGGACAAGAACTGAACTGAAAATGAGCTCCAAAGACACCAAAGTCCAAAACTAAATATGAAAAAACCTTCAGAGACACTGAAGAAAAAGAAATATTTATCAAAAGTGTGGAGCATGCACCGTTGTGCAGTGGTTAGTGCTGCTGCCTTGCAGCTGGAAGGTTCCAGATTCGATTCCCAACCTGGGGTCTTTCTGCATGGAGTTTGCATGTTCTCTCTGTGCACGCATGGGTTCTCTCAGAGGACTCCGGTCCAAAATTATCAGGTTGATAGGTGTGAGTGTGTGTGTGCATGGTTGTTTTTCCTGTGTGTTACCCTGTGATGGACCAATAACCTGTGTGCACCCCACCTACTGGAGACAAATACCAGCCCCCCACAACCCTGCATGCGTCAGTGGGTATAAAAAAAATAGTTGGATGGATCAAACATGTTTAAAAAGGTCTGGCAGCTTTGAAGCCAAGCACGAAGGAATTTCAAATTTTTGCACAGAATATAATTTTTTAATGATTGTGTTTTGCTTAAAGAGACAGTGTGTATTTTCTCTGGCAGTAGGGGGCAGTACATACCTAAATTATTGCAATCAAGCAGTATTTTTGTGTTTGAGTAAGACCTTACCAACAAATGGCCATTAGGGTCAAAAATACCAGGGAGCCAACCTCCATCAAAATGACAATAACATCAGACTGCCTTTCATCACTGACGTGAAGAGGTAAATGTGTAAAACAACAAAATTTATGAATGGCGAAAGTTTTGTAACTGTTACAAATCAGTAAATGTATTTTGTCCTCATGGGCTTCTGTAGAAGGAAACATGGCGTCTAATTTGGCATCGCCCAGAGATTTAGACCTGTTCCCATAGATTTTAGACCCGGTTTTTATGGTTATATGTTATGAAGCTGCCAATCTTTTTCAACAACATTTCATTGGTTATATCCAATGATTACTTAATAGTAAAAACTACATATTGTCCCTTTAAAACATCTAGTTTTCTTGTATTTCAGCCAATCCCATTAGTTTATATATTTCTTTCTGCTCTCCTGTCACAGTTACTGTCATCATTCGTGTCACTCCTTTTTATCTTAGGAGGGTTTGTTTTGTTGGAAGATGCTTGTTGCTTCATGTCTGATCTTGGGTTTGCTCCCATTTTTGTCTCTGACTTTTACACTCTTTTTGTCCTTTTAGTTTTGTTGTGGTATAGGCTATAACCCACCAGCTGCCTGACAACCTTCATTTGGTCTACATAAGGGCTCCCCAGCACCACCACCGTGACAACAACATTAGAAAGTGATGGTTAAGCAACAGAACATAGGCAGCATGAAAACCCATTTGTAGTTAATGCAACATGTGCGTTCATCTGCATCTATGCCTAGATGACATGCTAGATATGAATGAGCAGGTTGCAGAGAAGAAGCAAAATGTTGTGCAAAAGGCTGCATGCATTGAATGTGACCGTGGACCCCAGAAACATTAGGTTTCAACTTTAAAGAAAAAAGACCGTTTGTGATGTTATCTGAGGCTAAATGAAAACATTAAATTGTCGTAACCTTTATATTATTAGCACCCACAATTCCCTGTGCGATGTAAATACAGATTTGATAAGAAATGACTCAGCAAGGTCATCAGAAGGCTAAGATGTAAATTCAGCCAATTGATGAATAATTCATAGGGCGTGTTCTTCTATGGCCTCTCAGTTTCAAAAAGGTGCAAAGAGGATGTGTCAAATGACACGTCTGGGGCCAGATGTGAGCAGTGATGCATCACCTGGCAGGAGTCGAACGCTGGAGCGGACCACCTTTGTAATCGAGGAGCATCGAGTGGGCTGACCGCCACGGCACAGTTCCAGAAGTTCTGTTTCTGAGAACCTGCCTCTCTGTTCCAGAAGGTTTCAAAGATACATACGCCCGTTTTTCTGTTTTATATTAACTTATGTTTAGTGCAAATAAAACAAGGTAATGAAACTGTCTGCACTTTCTGTCATGCTCCTGTTCAACATGGAATGCCAGCACTTCATTTCATTGCACTTAAAAGCCTCCGTATTTAGAACAAGGACTATCTGAACCAGCAGGTTTTTTGTGTTTAAAGAGTGGCTGGTGCCTGTAGCAGCGCCACTGTTGATTACAAAAGTCTCATTTTACCGTACAGAACAACTCAGAACTTTGGACATGAAGCTACAGGCCAGCGGTTTAGCAGGAGCAGAAGCAGATACCAGAAATCACTCAAAGCACTCTCGTATCAAATCTTGACCTGAAATCCAGCTCAGACTGGAACAGACCTGACACTTCCCAGTACTGTAAAAAACCGGTTTGAACAGTAGCACAAATGCATTTCTAGGAACTATTTTTCCTCATGTGGGCAGTCAAGGGTAGAAAGTAAAGAGAACCAAATGGAAAATCATAAGCTGTTGACTAATTTTAACTGCAAAGCAAATGAATCTAATGATCCACATGACATAATATCATTCAGGTGAAAGTTTTACAGAGGATTTAACACGTTTACCTTTAACACGGTAGTACGTTTTATTGGTTTCTTTTCAATGTAACCCTTGGATTCCCTATCATTTGGATGTGAGCTGACTTCTCCATTTTCTTTGTAAAAGCTCTCATTTATAAAACACAATATGACATTAAACTTTAGTTATAAAGCACCATAAATAAAAATATATGGTTGACCAAATTTTTGTATGATGTGCAAGATACAAATAGCACAGCCAAACAAAAAATAAAACATCGCCTACAGCTGAAAGGGCTTAAAGGCAGAAGTATAAAACATTTCAAGGCATTTCAAACAAATAAAAGCCAGGAGAAAATGAGTTGTGGGTGATCAGTGAAGGTCTGACTGATCCCTTCAGCATAGGGCTTCAGTTGGTTTAAAAACAGTAGTTGTAAGTTTTGAAATTGCCTTAAAGACCAAGTTCACTCAGAAACCATTTTTTACTTGTTGTCTTTTAAATTTATGATAGGTCATTCTGAGTTTAACATGCAAGTTGAACGTGAAAATGCTTCTTTACCCCATTTGCCACATTACCCATCGATAGAAAATAGATGGGGAAACGCTCATTTAAAAGAAAAACAGTCAGATCCATGCCACAGTGAAGATTTGCATTCATGGAATCTTCCATCTTGGCTCCCAATGGGGAAGGCTGTTGTTGATTTAAAGTCCCAGTACAGGAGAGCACGTCTCAGCAAGTAGACGCTTGCCGTTAGCATTAGCAACTCCACAACATGGCAGAACTCCTTCAGGCTTGTGGTATTTGAGGCAATAAAACATAAACAAAGTAAACTAAGGGGGCATAGTTGCTGTTAACTAATCAGAGGCAAGATGTCAGAATATTAGGACATAAGACTCCAAATCCTGCTGTCTTCTTCTCCCCTATGTGCTCTGGCTAACTCCTACCTCCTGAAACAAGAGCGCCAGAGCTAATTTCATTTTTGTCATGTATAATAAAGACTACTGTAAATGCATTAAAATACAAGTGAACTTGGTCTTTAAATGAGAGAATACAATTTTCTAAGTCAACAGTTATCCACATAAGAATCAAATTGAATATGTTGTTTTCCAGAATCCCTTAGCCAAAGAGAAAAAGGCACACAGAAAAAAAAAGAAAAGGACCAAGGACAGAACCTTGTGGGATGCCCAAGGAAACAAAAGCAGAGCTGGAGAAATAAATCATTCACCAATTTTAACCGTTAATTTTGAAGAGTTTTCTTATTTAGAGATGAACAAATTTTGCACAACATGCTATAGATAACAACACATTCTTCATTAATGTTTTCTGCAACAAAAGTGCATGCAAGATTATGCAATTCTCCAGTTTTACCACAAAGCAGAATTGTTTGCCACACACGGCGTGCTAGTTGAATGCACAAATGGACAGCATGCTCCTTGCCTCTGTTTAGCAGCAGTAATTGCAACATATGGGAATAAACTTGCCTGAATGTGCTTCTCGTAAAGCTGGACCTCCTTACTTTTTTTTACCCAACCTGCAAGCATGTGCCCTCTTGTGTTTTCAAACAACCCAGAGTGGAAAAACAGCTTCAAGGACGACAAACACACCCTTCCCTTCCTGCAGAAGTAATGATCCCACTTATCTTTGGTTGCACCAAAGTTAAGAAATAGGTTAGGGAGATAAGGGGACCATCTGATTTTATAAGCCACTTCAGTGGCTATATGGATCCTGCAATACTCCTTTTAAGTGTTTTCTTAAATGACACATTAGCCCAAGGTTCATGAATGTAAAATAACAGGTCAGATGAAGGTGGCTCCTTTTCCAGCTTATTTATCTATTTTACTGTGACAACTCAACTCAGTCCTGCAGAATTAATATTTATTTCAGCTTTTATAAAAACAATGAAAACAAATGATGAGTTTGAATTGTTTTCCCTCTGAAACGCTGCCATCCTAATGACGATGTCAGTGTAATTAATTTAAATGAGTTGTGCCAAATGTTGCATGGCAAGAGTAAACTTTACACTAAACCACTGGGTGACCACTAATAAAACTTAAACATATCCACCTCCAACCAAAAGAATGTGCAACTTTTAAAGGGGAAAACAGAAGTTTCTTCAAAAACGGGGCTTTAAGACTCAGTGGTTTAATCATTACAACAGTAATGAACATCCAGTACCCAACACCGAGTTTAAATAAAGCCTGTGTGCCTGATTTAAAGCAAAAAGAGCCAGTAATCTGCCGGCACCAAAGATTGTAATCCAGTCTTGGAGATGGTCATCCTGCTCCAGCAGAGGCCAACAACGTCCCAGCCTGGCCTGAGTTCTAAAAGAATGGACCCCATTAACTCCCCAGACCTACATCCTCTGCTTTAATGGACCGATGACAGCCTCCTCTCAGTGAGACAATCACCGACACTAACGGCTACCGGGGAGATCATGAGATGTTTCTTTAAAAGTGATCCATAAAAGAGAATGAATTAGTGTATTTGCGTTTGCGTCTTACCGACTGCCAACAGGTGTTTTCTGCCTCTTCCTCCGTCCGTCGGTGCGTCCGCACGCGCCTCACTTCCCTCCCGAGAAGATTTAGCGACCTTCACTTTTTTTCTTTATTTTTTCAGGGATGAAATCAGAGAGGTGTACACATACAGCCGTGCGACATGACCAGTTTCAGCCGTCCCGTCAGCGAAGGAGACGCAACAGATCTCTCCGCGCCCTGACTGTGCCGATGAGGGCGGCGAGGAGTGCAGCGTAAACCCCGCCCCTCCCGTCCGCACTCAAGCTCAGCCGCGCACTCCGCAGGTTCAGGTTCCCGCAGATACCGCAAACTCATCAGACGGGTTTGACATCTATATAAATGAGCACACAAATAAAAGTTTTTACCGTGAAGCCATGTGACGGAGACGTTGAGTGTGTAGAAACACAAGGTGCTGCTGCTCACGGGAGGAGCTGAGTAAAAGTGTGGATTACTTATAAAACAACAGTCCCCTGAGTCTAGGGGACAGGAAATGGTCTCTGTGTTGTTCTGATGAGAACTAAGAGACCAAAGACAACACAGATGTGTGTTTTTGTTCACCTAATAGATGTTTGAAATCACTAGAATTTTATTTTGGTAGCTTATTATGAAGAATTTTAGTAATTCTCTGTGATCATTTCTGATCATCTTTTCTTATGTTCTAGTGATCTGTCTTAAATGATGTGTGATGTATTTTTTTAAATGTACATGCATTTCTCTTTAATGAAATCTTATTTGGCATCTTTTTCTTTTAATTTTATTTTCTGGGATGTTTCACAATTTCTCGTATTAATTGAGGCAGGCCTAGAAACTTGTATGACCACGACAACGGAAATAAACCCTCATGCTCCACAAACATTTCACAGAAATGAACAAACCCATAAAAGCTCTCAGTTCCTCTCTCTAATTAATTGAATTGCTCTTAGAATACATCACAGGAGAAACTCACCTATTTTGTGGAAAGAACATGTAAATTGCTAAAATGACATTAACCCTAAATAAAACCATAATCATGGTAGAAAAGTGGAAATCGACAGTCAGTGAACTGTTTAAATCCACCAGATGCCTCCCTTTGTGACTGAACCGGGGTCCTTATCGACTGTGTCTTTTAGCCTGCATGATGCTTATCTAACCATTTGTCTTCTACATGACAGCGAAGGCCAGTTTCCCATAATGTTCAAAATCATATTTTGCGACCTGGTCATATCTTAGGGCAAGGGAAGGGAAACTAGATGTCATTTTCCACCATAAATTAGTTTGCGATTGTGATCTAAACGTTGTCTTCATAATCCAGGAGCCTCAAATAATGAAGGTGTAAGTGAAAGCACAAACCGGTTATATGGTAACTTTAGAACAAGCCATTGGGGTATATGGTGAGTCAGTGATCTGTGTTAAATGTAAGTATTAATGTGCTACAATAAGGGATCAGGTTACAGGTGATAAGTCTCTGGGAAATGAACAGAAATGAAATTTCCATCTGAGAAAAAAAATCTAGTCTCTCTCTCTCTCTCTCTCTCTCTCTCTCTCTCTCTCTCACACTCACTGTGTGTGTTTGTGTGTACGTGGGAGTGTCGGTTCACTGCAGCCTCTAAGAAATGCAAACACAATGCCTATCTGTTTTCCTATCAGAAAACTGGCTTCTTGCTGGTATGAGCAACAAAAACACTGTAAAAAAGCTCTCCTGTGGTAAACCAGCACAATTAGCCGTGAGCTGTAATTGGAACCACTTTAGGACATGATGCTCAACGTATGCGTGCAAATTTTTGGGTTTCTTTACAAAATAATAAAAGCAATCCTTGCTCCAGAAAAAGCAGGCTTCCTCTTTGCGGCTGGCAACTTTTGCTTGCTCTGCATGAGAACAAATATTGTAAAACTCCCTGACGATCACACTGGTGTGCCCTAAATCACTTAAAAAGCTGTCAAGTTTACGACTGGTAAACATAGTGAGGTCTCCAAGCCTATGAAATTCCTCTTGCCACCCATGCACAACGTAACCTCAATTCCCTATATATATATATATATATATATATATATACACACACATATATCAATCCATCCATCCATCCATCTTCTGAACCCGCTTGTCCATGTAGGGTCGCGGGGGGCTGGTGCCTATCTCCAGCAGTCAACGGGCAATTAGGTTTGGTACACCCTGGACAGAGATGTCCAGGGTGTACCTGGGCAACAGGGCAACACAGAGACACACAGGACAAACGATCACACACACACACTCACACCTAAGGACAGACCAATTAACCTAACAGTCATGTTTTTGGACTGTGGGAGGAAGCCGGAGTACCCGGAGAAAACCCACACATGCACAGGGAGAACATGCAAACTCCATGCAGAAAGATCCCAGGCCGGGAAGCGAACCCAGGACCTTCTTGCTGCAAGGCAACAGCTCTAACCACTGCGCCACTGCGCAGCCTACATACATACATACATATATATATATATATATATATATATATATATATATATATACATACATATATATTCATATATACATATATATAATTAACATTTACTTGTTATTTTCAGTATTAGGAAAAGTATACTTTGTGTATTACCATAATATTTAGTGATTAGGATGTGTTTTTGTTATGTACTGTCCAGTCATGTCTTTTGGTGTCGTGCTTGTGTGTTGGACAGTGAAAAACGTAAATCTTACTCCTTTGAATGTTTAGTGCATGTGAAGTAATCGACAATAAAAGCTCTCTTGTCTGATATATATATATATATATATATATATATATATATATATATATATATATATGTATAGCGGCTGAATAGCTCAACTGGATAAGCACCGGACTTACAAGTGGAAACCCGGGAACCCGTTTTGAAACCCGGGTTGGTTCCTCAACATCCAGTGTGGGCTCTTATAGGCAAGACCCTTGACGGTATTGGCTACACAAGAATCCTTGGGCAAGACCCTTGGTGCAATTTGCTTACCTCATAACATGATGAGAGCAACAAAAATGAACGAGTGTCGGCTCAGATGTCGCCCGGCCAAACAAGGTCTGCATCAGGTGCGGGGGAACCAGAGCACCCTGATGAAAAGTGGGCTACTGGAACAACAATAAGACGGAAATGGGCGAAATACGAGATCCTGGATCTGTTGGTATGCCACTACTCCAGTAACCCTAGTCAGAGGGGTTACATGCAGAGAATGCGGGAAGAATGGTTACTTTGAAACCTGCACTCAACACTAACAGCCAAACAACCAGTAGCACAGTGTTCCAACATCAACAAACGGCAACTGCTATCACCATGAAGTACCATCAGAAATCCTTGAAGATGTGAGTGCAGTATTGAGAATGATTCCTACAACCACCATCAATGAAGCCAATGAGCTGAAATACACTTCAGAGGCAGGGAGATCCTTGAGATGCTTGGCTATAAGAGCAAGTGCAACCATGAGATACAATACCCACCATGGAAGAGAAGGTTGGAGGCCAAAATCAAGGCAGCATGGAGAGATGTGAGCCAACTGTCAGAGTTCCAGAAAGGTACAATGAGAAAACCAGGACCCAAGAACTACAGCCAGAAACCCATAAGCACTGGAAACTGCCAAACAAAAGCTCCAAGCATTGGCCCCCCACCTAAAGAGATACACAAGAGAAAGTGAAGTCAGACGAATAAACCGGCTCTTCTCGACCCAAAGCGTACTCAGCAGCTGCTCTAGCCACTCCTCCAGGCTTTCTCAAGTTCTTCTTTGAAGCCCTGGTACTTCTTTAGTTCCATGCTTTCGTTCTTTTTTAAACACAGAAACAGTTTTGTTTACCTGTTTGTAGCTACAGTTTCGCCGACGGCTGCCGGCTTCTTCAGGCGTCAGCCTGAAGAAGCCGGCAGCCGTCGGCGAAACTGTAGCTACAAACAGGTAAACAAATGAAGCCTGAAGAAGCCGGCAGCCGTCGGCGAAACTGTAAACAGGTAAACAAAACTGTTTCTGTGTTTAAAAAAGAACGAAAGCATGGATTTAGAAAGACACAGCAAGAACACACCTAAGACTTCTTTAGTTTCTCGTGTTCCTTTTTCCTGATGTGACCATCACTTGGTATGGCCATATCAACCACAACGGTTGTCCTCTGTTGTTTGTCTGCTACCGCAATGCCCAGTTGGTTTGCCACCACCATTTTGTCAGTCTGGATCTGGAAGTCCCACAGGAGCTTGGCTCTTTCATTCTCTACCACCTTAGGGGGTGTTACCCACTTTGACATTGGGGCTTCCGGTCCATACTCTGCACTCTGCACAGATGTTTCACACTATGACAGCTGTGGCGTTCCATGTATGCTTTCTCTGCCAGCATCTTACACCCTGCAGTTATGCGGTGGATTGTCTCAGAGGCCTCTTTGCATAGCCTACACCTTGGGTCTTGTCTAGTTTAGTAGATCTTGGCCTCTGTTGCTATGGTGTTCAGGGCCAGTTCCTGTGCAGCCATGATGAGTGCCTCAGTGCTGTCCTTCAGACCAGCTCTTTGTAGCCATTGGTAGGATTTCTTGATATAAGCCACTTCAGTTATCTGTCTGTGGTACATCCCATGTAAGGATTTGTCCTCGTATGATGGTATTTCCAGCGCATCTATAGGACATGCATACATGGGCTCTCCCTTAGAGATGGGGGTGAGAAGCTTGGTCATATGGGAGGGGCTCTGAGTAGATCTGCTGCTCCTCCACATCTAGAGGAGCCAGTTGAGGTGGCTCGGACATCTGATTAGGATACATCCTGCATGGAGAACTCCCTGTTGAGGTTCTCCAGGCATGCCCAACTGGGAGAAGACCTAAAGGAAGACTCAGAACATGTTGGAGGGACTGTGTCTCTCGTCTGGCCAGGGAACACCTTGGAATTCTCCTGGAAGAGCTGGCCCAAGTGGCTGGGGGGAGGGAAATCTCTTGACTTAGGCTGTTGCCCCCACAACCTGACCCCGGATATGCAAGAGAAAATGGACGAATGTGTGTGTGTGTGTGTGTGTGTGTGTGTGTGTGTGTGTGTGTGTGTGTATATATATATATATATATATATATATATATATATATATATATATATATATATATATATATATATATATATACACACACAGCTCGGTCATCTGGGAGGAAGAGAGAAAGGCTCTTTTTAATTAAGAGCACTTTCCCTACAAGAAAAAGGTGAGCTGTCGGTCAGAAGGAACATACAGCATGATATCTTTGTGAATCAATGCCCAGGCTGCAGGGTATCTTAGACTGCAGCTTTTCCA